TAATAATAATAATAATAATAATAATAATAATAATAATAATAATAATAATAATAAAATTCTTTAGTATCGATTATTATTATTATTATTATTATTATTATTATTATTATTATTATTATTATTATTATTAATAATAAAAATAAAAATAGCCATATTTACCAAAAGACCAGCACGATCAGCAACACTATCTTTATCAACACCAGTAACATAAATTCCTAAACCATATTCTAATCCCCCACGTATCATCAGACCCAATGATTGTCCGGGTTCAATGCAAAGTTCAACTTTGCGAGTTCGCGATCCATATCGTGAATCATGCGGATGCAAAGGCGGCGGTGACGCTGGACGACCCTGACGATCCATCCACGAACAAGATTGTTGTCTTCCCGATCCAGTAGTCCATATCGGATGACCTCCCCGACATCGCGGATCCAATGCCGGTCCACGTACCGTCATACTCAGTGTTCTGCATGACTTTAACATCTATTAAAAAAATTTTTCTATCATTATCATTAAATATCAAATAAAAATTCTTACATTGAAAATTAAAAAGCTTGAATTTTAAAATGTATGTTAAAAAAAGACAATGCTAAATAAATAGTGAAGAAATTTATGTACATGTAGCAAAATGACGCAATAATATCCCCCACACGAATATCGATCGTCCAGGCTACTGCTGCCCGTGACGTCACATCCTGCCTATTTATCCTTGACCTGATTCCAATCCCTGTCTATAGCTAGTTAATATCTTCTCCAATCTTCTCTCCCTCGACTACCAACAAAATCTTTCAAGTAAATTTACCCCAATACTCCAATAGTTATTCATGTCGACAATCATTAATCTCTAGATTTTCTTCTTCCCTCTTCCTCTCTGACTTCTTTTTTTCTATTTCTCCCCCAATATACTATAATACCAAAGTTAGCCAACGTTTTTTATATTTTTTTATTTATTAAATTATAATCAAAAAATATTTTTTAGAAATTGCACTTATAGTTTTTCAAGTTTTGTACTAATAAAAAATTTTTTTTTATTATTTTTTAATAATTCTGTCAATAAAAAAAATTCTAAAAATTTTTAGATGACTTCTTTTTTTCTATTTCTTCCTCAATATACCATAATACTAAAGTTAACCAACGTTTTTAATTTTTTTATTTATTAAATTATAACTAAAAAATATTTTTTAGAAATTGCATTTATAGTTTTTCAAGTTTTTTACTAATAAAAATTTTTTTTAAATAATTTTGTCAATAAAAAAAATTTTAAAAATTTTTAGATGTCGGCTAAATTAATTTTCATCAATATACCTATTTTTATTAAACATCTCTAACATACGCTAAATTTATCCGCGTACATTTAAAATATTAATTAAAAAAATTGAATAAATTTTTTTTCTAGTTTGTAAAATATAAAATATTTACTAACAAAAGAAGAAATACAAATAAAATTATCATTGACTGTAATTGAATAAGGAAAACGATTATCCTGGCGCCAGTTTTGTAATTTATGATAGGAAACGACTTGTCAGGGTGAATATACCAATTTAAGGTCATTGTTATTATAAACATAATTCAAACCAACGTTTAATATTCTAAACTCTGTCCTATTTCTATTAAATTCAATTTTATTTTTAGCTTTGTTATTTAAAATTGAACAATAATATAAATAAGAAAGTTATTATTAGTGATAAAAAAAAGTCTGATAGTTGATGACAGCTCAATAGTTATTTGCATTGTATTGTTGATATCAATCGATTTAAGATGACGTGGGAGTTAATAAACTACAGGCCAGGGTCGACATACATCTATTGAAAATAATATTTTTATATTTTATTTTATCTTACTGTTTTACTATCTCTCTATTTTAATTAATTATTTTTCTTTGATGTATTTCATTATTAATAAAGCCAGATTTTAGTCTTTTTGAAATGAATGGTTCAAATTTTGATATTACGGCGGAAATATTGATCCTATAAAAAATTTTTTAAACAAAAGCTGTAGGAAATTTAATTTTATAAAAAAAATAGCTCCTATGATTTTTTTATAAAATTAAATTTTGAACTTTTATTTAAAAAATTTCATTATATGGCCTATATATTCGCCGTAATATTAAAAATTAAGATTTATAATTAATAATTCAATTTTTTTGGTAATTATGGAAATCTCAATTTTTAAATTACGTCTTTCTAATTGGTCCTAAGAGAAAATTATAAGTCATTTTTTTTTATAAAATAAAATTTGCAACAACTTTTATTTAAAAATTTTTTTACAGGACCAATATATTTCCTGTAATATCAAAAATTAAGATTTATAATCAATAATTCAAATTTTTTCTAATTATAAAAATCTTAATTTTAAAATTACGGCTTTTTGATTGGTCCTAAGAGAAAATTATAATGACATTTTTTTTTATAAAATTAAATTTTGAACAACTTTTGTTTAAAAAATTTTCATAGGACCAATATTTTCGCCGTAATATCAAAAATTCAACATAATTAATTGTTATTCTAAAATTAAGGCCAAAATCTTAACATTACTCAATTCTTCCCAGTAATTTACAATCGATATTACTTAAATATATGTTTAAAAATACCTTAAGTGCTTCTTCATGTGTAACAGCACGAAAAGGTGTCCCATTGACTTCCAAAATAGTATCGCCTGGTCTCAATCCAGCCCTTTCAGCAACAGAGCCTTCTTCTACCCTTGAAATATAAACTCCTACACCTATAAAAAATATCAATAATATTAACAATAATAATGACAACAATAATGACGATATAAATATTATTGAGAGAATGTAAATGTCACTCAACCGACATTACATACAAGTACCTCAATGCTCATACTAACTTTGTAATCATTCACTTTTTTTTTTCTCTTACAAGTGTACACTAATTGTCTCCTCATTCTCAAAGTTCGTACTCATCTCTCTTAACAACAGCTATTAGCACACCCAATTCTGTCCTTTACAAGGACATATCAAGGACTCTTTATGTCCCTGTCTATTACGATTAATTTTCAGAGAAGACAATTTTTTTTTAATATTTAATTTGTGTTCTGATTATTCGATATTTTTATAATTGAAAGAAATAATAATTGACATGCAGAGGATTAAATTTTTTTTTTAACTATTATCACATGCTATTACCTCGGATATAAATTTTGATTGATTAGAAATGATAAAAAATAATCAAGGATGAATTACAATAAAAGAAGAAATGAAAGAATGAAGAAGAAAAAACATTATTCGCAATGAATTAAATGGAAATTTTTTTTAAGCTTAAATGTGTCATCTAGGTACAAGGCACAGTTTTAATTATCAATGCAAATAAATGTGAATTTATTTAAAAAATTAATGAATAATTATTTAAATAATAAGCTTACTTTAATTATTTTTAAATCACTAATTAATAATATTTGATGCATAAATATAAATGATTTGTTAATATTTTATTTTTCTTATTTTAAATGAAGATATAAAAATATTTACAAATCATTTATTAATTACATTTAAATGATAATTTTATATTTTTAATGATTCATGCAATAATTAATAAAAGCCAAAAAGAAGAAATGAATAAACATCTTGACACTTTAATTTTAAATCATGATTAAATAAATTTTGTTTTTCTTTCTTCTTAGTATCTTATTAAAAATTTACAAATATTATTATTGAAATTTTTTTGGTAAATATTTACAAGTAGGGTCAACCATTTTAATTTTCATTTTTTTGAACCAAATTTCTATTTGATTTTATTGATATATTTTTTTGTTAAAAATACATAAAAAAATGAACAATTAAAAAAAAAAAAGTTGAGTATCACAATTTTAACAAATTTTCAAAAAAAATTTATAAATTTTTTTAGAAAATTGTGAAAAATTGTAATAATTAATTTTTTTTTGTACTTTTCAAAAAAATATATATCAAAAAATATCAAAAAAACATAAAATAGAAATTTTATCCAAAAACATGAGCCAAAATTTTTTCCAACTTTTGAAGGCAAAAAAGCTATCGAAATCTTTATTTTTTTCTTTCACGACATTTTTTATCATAAATGCACCGTAAAAACAAGTAGAATCAAAAAAAAATTTTTGAAAATGTCAACTTTACCTAGTTATGGCCTAAAATGGGGTTGACCCCACTTGTAAATAATTACCATTTTTTTTATCACAATAATTATAAAAATTATGAGAATAGTGAAAATGAATCAAAAAAAAAATAAAGAAAAAAAAATACGCGTGTGTTGATATTATGTTTACCTGACTGCGCTTCTTGGGTACAGCGAGAAAGAACAGAAAGACATTGGCAGTGACTTATGATGGCATTGCTTATTAAATACAAACTAAAAACAACCTCAAGCTTATAAATCTCTTAAATTTTTCCTTTTTATTTACTTTACTACCCAATTATTATTAAAAATAAAAATTTCTTCTATTATAAAAAGTTATTTTAAAAGATTATTTAGCTTAGCGTTTGTTTTAATATTTTGTTTTTAAACAATAAATTAATATGAAAAGCAAATAATAAAATAGCAAAAAAACAATTTTTTATAAAGTTTAAATAATTTTCTGTTTTAATAATAATAATAATAATAATAATAATAATAATACGACCAATAATTATTTACCTGCATCTTTACCACCCTTGACACAAATACCAAATCCGTGATGTGAATCTGGCGGATCACGAGTCATTGTTATAGTCCTAACAGTAAGCTCTTGAAGACTTAAAGCTTGTGGAACTGAGGATTGTGATGTTGGACTTGTTGGAGCTATTTGTCCTCCCGGAATAGCTGAGGATGATGACGGAAGTGTTGAATTAGTACCACGTAATGCCGAAACACTTGCTGGACTTGACGCGGGTGTTCTGCGTTCATTTTGTCTTCTTTCAGCGACTCCATTGTTGAAAATTCTAGAAATAAAAAAAAAATAAATAAATTTTTATTAAATAAAAAAATAATTTTATTTTCAAAAAAAAAAAAAAAATCAAAAAATCGTCAAGAAAATTAAAAAAAAATTGCATTTATAATTTTTTAGAGTTTATCATTATGAAATTTTTTAATAAATTTTCTTGCTATAATTCATTTGTTAAAAAAATTTAATTTTTTCAAACTCTAAAAAATTATAAATACAATTTTTGAAAAATAATAAAAAAAAAAAGTTTTTATTAATTATAAAAATAATTTTTATTACCGTAAAACTTGTTCAGGTGATATAGCGCCGCTGGAATTAGTAGTATGACCCCGATGATGTCGATAAGGCGTTGTGTGAGATGAATGATGATGGGGTGCACTTGGCGGTCTTTCTACAATAGTGTAACTGGTACCTGGAGGACTGTAGTAACCTCTGTTGTGTCCGATGTGTCTACTACTATTACTACTACTTATACTGGCACCAACACCACCACCACCACCACCACTTATTGGATCCAAGTCTTCGGCTTCGTAGCAACCGACTGTACTACTACCTCCAGTATTTCGCAATAAATTAGTGCTGCTCCGTAAAAAATGCGTTGATGATCCTCCTCCTCCACCCCCGATACTGGCTATGCCGCCACCATCCCACTGTAGTTCCTGCAGCTCCGAGCCATAATCCTCCGTACTGCTTGCCATTTTTTTTCACGATCAGATCTGTGATTATTAATTATATTTTAGGATTAGTTATCTTTTTTTTTTTACTGAAATTGAGAGACTTTTTTTAATTTAAAAAACTTTTTTAATAAATTTATTATAATAGAAAAAATTTATTAAAAAATTTTATATTGAGAAACTCTAAAAAATTATAAATGCAATTTGTTTTTAATAATTTTCTTGACAATTTTTTGAAAAATAAATTATTTTTCAAAAACATTATTTATAATTTTTTAGAGCTTCCAAAAATTAATTTTTTAAATAGGTTTTTTTTTTTGTTATAATTTATTTGTTAAAAAAAATTTATCTTTAAAAGCTTTAAAAAATTATAAATGCAATTATTTTAAAAAACAATTTTTGAATAATTAAAAAATTGTCGTGAAAATGAAATTAGCAGACATCTAACAATTTTAAGATTGTTCTTATCTAAAAAATTACTACAAAAAAATAAAAATAAAATTAAAAATGTAAAAGATTTAAAAAAATTATAAGTGCAATTTATTTTAAATATTTTTTTAGTTCTAAAAATCCAAAAATTTTTCAAAAGTCCGCTAATTTCAATGGAATTTTTTTTACATTTATTGCATCAGTTTTAAACTGTATCGTAATTACACTACAAGTATTTATAATAAAAATTTTTACAAAATTTAAATAGATATATTTCTTAGTTAAAACAAGTTGGCAAGTTGGGACATTTACAAAATTTAAGGTAATTTTGTAGTTGATTTATTTTATCATTTTTCTTTTCGGTCACTAATCCCTGTATTTTTATTTAAGTTTATTTTATTTTTATTTGAGTTTATTTTACAACTTTTGGCAATCGTCTTGTCTCGTAAGCTTCATTATTTTTTTTAAATTTTTCACTTATAAAGAAGTAAAGTTTTTTAAGCTCTTCAGAAATAAAATTAAAATATTTTCCGATAATAAATAAAATTGTACAACTAATACCTAAAGTTATTTTATGATAATTAAAAATAAACAGTGTATATTTCTTCTTTAAAAATGACTGGATAAAATTATTACATCGGCTTGTACGGTCTTTGTCACTTGGCAGGGGGTCAAAAGAGAACCTGCCGTGACTATGATACGCGAAATCTCAGATCGTGATCTTTACGGAGCTTGTTTAATCGTAATTGGATGACTTCCTGCTGTTTCCACCTACGTCCGCCCTGATAATTCTTTAATGACCATGACCGAGCTTTTATTTTTACTTTTTGAATAAAATCCCTGCAACAAAAGTCTTAAAAAATAACTAATACATAAATTAATAAGAATATGTTTACCTTAAAAAATTATTTTTTCAGTGTTTAAGAAATAAATTCCAAGCTTTTATTGTAAATTAAATTTTGATAAAAATTATTATTTAGAATTTGAGCTAATGATAGAGTAATTTTTGTTAAAAATTGGAATTTTTTATCTTATAAACGCGGTTTGTTTAAACGACACGAGCGCTCTTGTGGGAATTAACCGCGTGTTCTGCCTCTTAAACTACACCAGGCAACGTGAAATCAATGATGCTCCAAAGTGAACGTACCAAAAATATATAAGTCAAGTTAAAAATAAAAATAACATTATTATTTTTATTATTATTAATTTTTATTTTTATTTACAAAAATAAAACAACTATTTATTGAAATGAAAAAAAAAAAAATATTTTTATAATTATTTGTAAATAATAATAATAATGATAATAATTTAATAATAATAAATAAAAAAAATATATTTATTATTATTATTGACAAATATAAGTAACTTTTCTTTAAAATTAAAAAACAAGTATATAAAAAATTATTGTTAAAATTAATTGTAAATAATAATAACAATAATAATAATAATAATGACAAAAAAAATAAATAATAATAATCAATAATTAAAAAATGAGTATCATAATATCTATAAAATAATCGCGTGTCTTAACTACTTACTACTTACTTAACTGCAGTAGTAATAATTCATTGAAGAAATGAAATATTTGAATAATATCGAGTAGAATAGTAAAACATAAATTATTTTTGGTTCGTACATCCTTTTATACATTGAAAATTCTAATCAAACTCAAACTTTCTTTTTTGCATCTCATATTCAATCTACTCTTACAAAATGATATTTAATGCGCTTCTTTGACATAATCATTCAAAAAAAAAAAAAAAAAAAAAAAAAAAAAAAATTAATTTTTTATTTATTTATGTATATTGACAAAAAACAATAAGTATAATATTCAAGTAATATTTTTTAGCTATCATACAGAAAACAATAGCATTAATAATAGTGAATAAAATTGAACAATATTGATTTGGATATTGGTATTTTATTACTATTCGAAGTATGGCTAAAGGACAAAGGGTCGATCGATTTGTTATCTAATATAAGAACAATAATGTTGTACATTATATACATTGTATATGTATATTGATTAATAACAGATATAAATACACCCAATTATTTTCTCCACTAATTGTATAGTGTTACTACCAAATAAATAGCTACTCTAAAACGCGCTGCATACACACACGTCAATGTGTCGCTCTTGCCGTTGATTTTAATACTTAGTAAGCACATTTCTAAAACGAGATTGCTTCATTTGATAGATTGCAGTAATAATAAGCTATTACCATATAATTATTACAAATTTCATAAAAGCGTACTATGTACAATATTAAGCTATTAGCTTTTAAAAAATACAGTAATACAACAAAAAATAAAAATAATAATATAAATTGTATTGTAACACACAATAAGGCTTCTTTAAGTGAAATGTCATTTTATTATCTCTTTATATTATTTATCTATTTAATTTACTTTATTCTAGTTTTTAAAAAATCGACTCTAATTGCAAAGCTAAAAATTTATTTGTACAAAAATAAAAAAAAATTTTTAATTGGATTTTTAAACAGTAAAGATATTTTTTATAAACCAATTAAAGTCACACTTGCATTTTAATTCTACAAAGAAACAACCTAATTTTTTATCACAGCTATTAATTTTTTTTTAAGGAAAACAATTAAAATTTTAACTAATATTTTTATTCATAACAGTTAAAATATTTTAATATTGTAAATATTTAATATTAAATAAATTTTTTTTTAATTTTGAATTTTTAAAATTGTCTAAAAATAAAATATTTCTATTAATTTATTATTTTTTTTTATAAAAATTTTAACTAATATTTTTATTTCAACAACAATCAAAAATGTATTAAATATTTAGTATTTAGCATTAATTCCTACTCTCTATCACGCTATCTCTTTTGCACGAAGAGAGCTTTCTGGTTATATCGATCGATTGTAACGCCGACGAGGTCGAGGACTGACAATACAAAAACTAAGAGTGTCGTCCTTATGAATTTCTACAGTAGTCTCTAACCAATAACAATAAAAACAATAATATTATAAAATATAAATGCAAATCTATTTTCACCTAAGTCTCTTTTTGATAAAACTTTGGGATAAAAAAAAGTCATGCACTTTATGCAGAGTTATTTCAACCGTTAGGAGCTTGGAGGTTCTGAAAAAAAAAAAAAAAAAAAGTAGAAAAAAAAATGACAAGAATAGGTTTAAAGGCAAAAGGCAATTGCTCGGTGCTCGGTGCTCGGTCTAATGGAAACGTTAGTTCAGAGGAGTTTAGTTCAGAGTCAAATTTTACCTCCGGCTTTTTTTTTTTTACCATTCAAAAACTAAAAATAGATTTATCTTGAAAAAAAAAAATCACTTTTTAAATAATTCTTATAAAAAATAGTTGATAAAAATAAAATGACAATCAAAGAGCTGGGTTATATTTTTTGGACAAATAAATATCTAAAAAAAAAAAAGGAAAATAATTAACATAAATAAATAAACGTAATTAAAAAAAAATATAGAAAAAGAGGGCGCGAGGTAAAAACTCGGTTATCGGGTTACTGTCGCGCTTCTACACTTTTCGTGGTCATCAATCGAACGATAAACTTATTATTATATTTCATATTTATTCCTTACTATCATTAACGTAAAAAAAAAAATCAATAAGTAGAGAATTATTATTTAAACACTGTATTATCTATTTTGAGCATGTTTTAAAAAATTCTTTAAAAAATAATTTATTCAAAAGTAAACAACTGAACAATTATAATCACGAAAGAAAAAAAAATAAATAAGCAACAACGACAACAACAATAATTACAATAATAATAATAATAATATTTTAATAAATAAAACTTAAGAATTCAAGCAAGTGTGTGAAGACACGCGATGTTAGTATTGCGGAAAAATTATGTCGAGGGTGCAGTTATTTTTTAACCTTATTATTGAATAAAAATATATTTTTTTCAATGTGTCAATTGAAAAAAAAAATATTTTTTGATACTATTGTAATAATAATTATTAACTTACATCTCTCATGATTGCAGATAAATAAATTCACGTCCTCCGTTCGTTATTAATTTAACAAACGTTCCGACACGCGAGCGCAGAAGGGAATTATTAAAATTAATGAAGCGCATCGCAGCCTCACAGGCCGGTCTTTAATTTACGTCAAGTAACGTAAGCTGACAACTGACTACTAATGTTAATGCAACTTAGTACCCTGTGCAGAGCCTCTTCGTGGTAGCTCGTCGTTCATCGTTTTAGATTTATTATTATTATTATTATTTTTTCTAGCTCTAGTGGTGTAAACTTGCTCACTAGTGCTGTACTGGCTGAACTGTCAAAGTCGCGAATCGCGAGTCTAGAGTCTAGTCCTATAGAGTTCCGAGCTTTACGTTATGCACTGTGTTACTAATAATAATAACAAACAAGAATATAACTGTATGGCGGTAAGAGCAATCTGATTGGCTGAAATTCCACCCTAGCCACTTAGGAGTGGTAGGTATATACTAGTGTGTGTGTGTGTGTATGTTCCATACTTTGAAGCTTTCAAACTGACAGCTCTGCCACCTGGCGGAATTTTTAAAAACCAAATCAGTCACATGTTACTAGAGTTACTAGCAGGATTTTTCTGACAAGTCTGACCAGTATGTATTTTTTATCACTTGTTTTACCAAATGTCAAATTAAAATAGAAAGATATTTTTATTGTAAGTAGTTATTTTCATTGTTATATCATAGATAATTAAGTAAGCAGTCGCTTGAGCATTTTTTAATTTTTTTTTAACAATAAAATTTGTTCCGAAAAATTATTTTTTAAAAATTGCATTTTTAATTTATTAAAATTTCTAAATGTCAATTTATTTTTTTCAAATTTTTTTGCAGTATTGAAAAATTAAAAAAATTACCAAATATCTGCTCCTTTAATTTTCATTATTAAAGTTAGCAGTTACTTGACGATTTTTTTTATTTTATTTAATAGACAAATTTATTCCAAAAAATTATTTTTAAAAAATTTCATTTTTTATTTTTTTTTAATTTTTACTTGTTAATTTTTTTTCCTATAATTTGATTATTAAAAAAATTCTTAAAATTGTCAAATATCTGCTAAATTTATTTTCATACTTTTTTATGAAAATTAAATTAGCCATTAGAAAATTTTTATGATTTTTTTGTTGAAAAAAAATTGACTTGTAGAAAATTTTAAAAATTTTAAGTGCAATTTTTTAAAAATATATTTTTTTGAATCAAAAAAATCAAAAATTATTTTTAAAAAATTACATTTAAAATTTTTCTTTGAATTTCCATATATTATAGCAATAATTAAAATTTTTTTTTTTAAGGACTTTTATCTTAATAATAAATTAATAATTAAGAAAGTAATCACAAAACTTAATCACTGGAATAATAATTAAAAGGTTTGAGACATTAAATCAACAGGTTTGCGTGCCGGATATGCTGGTTTTAAAACCGGAAGTCCACTCATCTAAGAGTTATAGAGTGCTGAATAATTGAATAATGGATAATTTATACTATCGATAACTGTTTTTGATTATTAAAGTTCAATTATTTAATAAATAATAAATTGTTTTCTTTTAATAGTCAAAATTTTTTAAAAATAATTTTTATTAAAAAAAAATTAAAAAATGATAAAGTAACTGCTAACTTTAATGTCATAAATTATTAGTAGAAATTTTTAAAAGCAATTTTTTTATTGTAATTGACTTGTTATAAGATTTAAAAAAATTGACAGCTGTCAGATAACCAGTATCATTTTATTTAAGGATCTTATTATTTGCAATTGGATTTTTTCCAAGCAAAATAAAAATAAGTAATCAGATTTTAATAATTTTTATTTTTTTTTCTTTTAATTTAATTAAATAGAAAATTTTAAAAAACCAAATAATATAATAATATTTATTTTTCTTTCTAGAGATGCTCGTATTATCACAGAATTCGTTACATTCGTTTACACTGAGTTATATAAATTAGAAATAAATCAAACGGCTAATTAGGCGATGTTTTTTTTTTAAACAACTATTACAATTAATAATATGCTTTATAACTCTATAATCAATCAATAGTAATTGTATTAAATACGTACAACTATCCACAATAAATAAAATATTAGTTAATAATTTTTTAATTTTAAAAATTAAAAAAAGATTAAAAACTGAAATTATCATTTTCAAATATTTATTAACAAAAAAAAATAAATATTACGTTTATGTAGCTGCCGTTATTATTATGTTTAATTTTTTTTACATTTATAAATTTTATGCAATTATAAATGTATAATTAATATTTTAATGAAAATAATAATAATAATCGTCGAATCAAAAATCAGTATTAGATAAAATTACCCGATAATTTATAAACAAAATAAAAAATACGGCAAGAGCGATACTGTGTATCAATATTGTGACGAGTAGCTTATTTATTATTATCTACAAATACGATAATTGATAATCAATTAACAAACCAATAAGCTGAAAAAAATGAGGAAAAAAACAGCTTGCCACTTAGACAATAATAAAAAAAATTAAAAAATCTCTCAACTTATTTTACAATACCAAAAAATCACTCAAACATATACAAACACTCATTTGTAAATATTAATTAGTAATTAAAAAAAATTAAACAAATGATCAATTTCATTTATAGATATTTTTTAAAAATGATCATTAATCTCCAACAACACGATAATTTATTATATCGCGTTACAGATGTCATAAGGGCGTATAATAAAAATCCTGTTTTTTTTTTTAAGTCCAAAAAAAACTTTAATTTGGAAAAGAATTTTTTTTCATCAAAAAGTTTAGAAAAAAAAGTTTTTTTTGGGAACATTGACGTATTTTTTTGTGAAATGTGCAGAAATGCAAAAAAAAAATTTTCTTCAAACTAAAAATTTGTTTGGACTTAGAAAAAAAACAGAATTTTTATTAAAGGCCTTTATGGCATTCGAGGTGGATCCCGGGAGCCATAAGGGCGTATAAATTTTTTTTTTTTTTTTCATTTCTGCACACTTTGGACGAAAATACGTCGATTCCCGAAAAAAAAAATTTTTATATGCTCTTATGGCTTTTCACCGGGACCTTTTGCCGGTGTACGCCCTCATGGCATCTGAAACGCGATATTGTTATTTATTGATAATAATAATAATAATAATTATTTATCATCTTTTAGTATTTGATTTACCCTTTGGACTCTCAGTTTTACTGTCATTTAAATCTTTACGTGGTCTTAAAATAAAATTAAGATTATGCTGAGTATTAACAGCATAATATACATTAGCAGAATTAGGTAATACCATTTCACGATCTGGTAATATTTGGGCAAGTGTATATTGATCAGGATTACCTTCAATACATAATTTTAACATTGCATTTCTTATTACTTGGGGTGTACGTTCATTATTCGATAGCATTATTGATTTATACATAATAACACCATCAGTTTCAACATTATCCGTTTCAATAGTTACTTTAATAATATAAAAATCTGGCGTATTACTATGTGAATTACTTGGACTCGATAAACTTATTAAATTTGGTGTACTACTTCTTCCATTATTAGTTGTACTTAAAAGTTGTCCTAAATTATTATTATTATTATTATTATTATTATTATTATTATTATTATTATTACTATCGTTCTTATTGCTATTAATATTACTATTTCCTATTCCAGAGCCTAGACTAACGTCTAAGGAAGGTAATGACGAACTGGAAGACGAGCTAGACATTTGAGAGGGTGATGTTCGACGATCAAGTGAATTGTGAGGCGAACTTGGAAGTGAATCAAGGTCACAATAAAATTGTGAGGAGCTTGAACTGGAAGTTGATGCAAGTGAATCATTTTTACGATGACCCTGATGACACTGATGAGTTTTTTTTTTACGATTTTGTAAAGTATTACCGCCTGGTGGCGGTTCTATTTGACAACTTAGCTTGTAGGCTTCACGATCATCAACTATTATTATTGAATGAAACCAACGATCGAATAATGGATCTTTTGTAAAGTTATAGGCGTTTGCTGCACCCTGTAGTAAACGTATCCGAGCTAATACTTCAAATTCTTTCCGTCTTTTATCAAAGTTTATCAGCCCTTCGGCAATGGTATCAGGTATTGCTGTGTCAATCATTGTTAAGTCAGTTAAAAATGTTCCAAGATAAGGTATTGTTCCGTATGATATTTTCTGTAAAAAAAAAATTATATAATAGACAATTTGGTAATAAAAAATTTTTTTTTTTAATTAAATTAAAATATTAACAACAATAATAATAATAAAATGTTAAAAACACAAATTATTATTTTTTTCATTTAATGAAAAAAAAATGTTTCTATTGTTGTCACTATTATTATTATTATTATTGTTAGTGACACAAATTTGTATAATAAATTAAAATTTTTAATTTTTTTGTTAATTATTATGGAATTTTAAATTTTATTGATTAACTTTTTATGCTATATATATTAAATATTTGTTTATCAAATTAAACCATTGATTTAGCTTTTAATGAAAATTTTGTTATTATAAATAATAATAATAATAATAAAATGTTTGAAGCAAAAATTATTATTGGATTTTTTTAATTTTTGATAATTTTTTTGTTGTTATTATTATTGTAAAAGATATAAATTTGTATAATAAATTAAAATTTTTAATTTTTTTTATAGATTATTATTAAATTTTTAATTTTATTGATTAATTATTTATGATATTATATATTTTAAATTTTTATAAATCAAATTAAGTCATTGATTTTGCTTATTATAAAATTTTTTTTTATATAAATCATAATAATAATCTGTGAGCTGGAACTCACGCCATCACTTCTCGAGGATTCTAGCCTGAATTCCCTGAGAAAACTCGAGGGCTACTGCAGGGAGAGCCACAAATAAAATTAAAGCTAGTGTATTGCCTTAATTTCTCATTATAAACTTTTGACATTACTTCGACTTTTTTATTTATTTTTCTATGGATTGTATTTTATATATGTGTCATTTTTATAAACAATATTTACTACTTGTACTCATGGCCAATTGCTACGAGAATCTCTGTATTCTGTTACATGCAATACAACTTATTTTTATAATAATATAATTAATATTCAAATAATAATAATAATAATAATAATAATACTCACACCAGCTTGAGTATTTTGTTTTTGAAATATTTTTTGTAAATGTCGATCACTTCTACCAGCAGTATCAGCAAATTTAGCAGTACCTTCTTTAATTAATAATTCTCTTTGAGTCCAAGCATTGTTTTCTTCCGAAAAAATTCTTTCTAATTCAATAAAAATTTCATGTTTATCACGAGGCATAGATTGCCAACATTTTTCTAATCGATAAACAGGATTACTTTGTAATCCCGAAACAATAGCCTTCAAACTGCTAAAATTTTTCAAAATTCTCAATTCTTGAGCAATATCTATCCAAGTTTCAATTATTCTGGCACGTTCTTGTGATTTTATAGTTGGATCAATCAGTATTGTTGATATGACTCTTAATGATACAGCATTAAATTGATTAACAGTAGCCAATACTGTTGCAGCATCATGACTACGGGATTTATCACGACGTGACCATACGGCTCCTAGACATTGATGTGCTATCAATTTTTTGAATACATCAGCATCCATACGTGTCAATTGTTCGGCAAAGTGACGATGCGGAACTTCCGGGAACTTATATCCCGACCAATTGTCACTCGTAAATGAATCTGTAGAATTATTGAGTGACAATCTTCCATTATCATAGACCAAACAATTATCTGTAACATAAACCAAAAAATTGTTATAAAAAAAAAATATTAACAATAATATTGAACTAACAACCTTGCAGTCACTATGTGACTATAAATTGTGACATTTGTTAAATTGCACTGTAATTTCTTAACTATTGACGATTAGGATATAAGCTCATCTTGATGTTACACTTATCAAGAACTTTCATTTGAGTACCCACATGCATTTTGATGTATTTTTCAAATATTTACATGTATAATATATATAAATATACGAAAAATTGATGTGGGTACTTAAATAAAAGGTCTTGATGAGTGTAACATCGGGATGAGCTTATATCTTTAAAAATGTCAATAGTTTACAAGATACAAGGTCATTTTTTAATTATGTATCTAGAGATAGAGCATTTTCGAATGCAGCAGCCTTAATACTTATCATAATAAATTGACTATAGGTGAGGATGATATGAAACCTTGAAAAGGCACAAATTCAAGTCGACTTTTGTAAAAAAAAATCGATTTTATCATATGACTATCCTGAAGACAAACTTTTTCTTATTCTCTTAATAATATAGATAAAAATTACCTATTTGATCTTGACACTGAAATTTATCAAGACGATGCCTTGCTTTTAATTCCAGTTCAGACCCAGCCAGCCGCCGATGAGTGAAGTCCAGTAATCTTTTGAGAAGGGAATAATTCGGTGGAGAATTCCAGTCACCAGGATACGCATCAAGCCAGACATGCAATGCCTGTATCAATGTTTTGCGATGCTGTTCCTCTGTTTGGCCATAACTTTTGTCTCCATCACTGTTAAGATCATCATAGCGTGATAATAATAATTCTAAAACTTCTCTTGGAGTTGTAAATGCACGGTAAGTTGCCAAGAATACATTTATATATGTCGATTCTAATTCTCCGTCATCATTAGCTAAACTTTCAACTAATTTTTGTACTGTGCCGGCTTTTAAAAACCTTACTCTCACTGTTTCCCATTCTAAATGCGATATTTCATCCTCTGAATCCTTAAATTTTAATTTAATTTATTGATTTATTATTTTAACGATTATATTAATTACAAATTAGATTTTTAGTGTATAAAAACTTACAGATGCTGAAATGCTTCGAGTTGGACGATGATATCTTACTTTTTTCAGGTACACTGTATAAATAACTCCATCGCATTTTTCCTCGCCCCATAAGCGCCACGTGGGCTGTAAATTTTAATAGCAATAAATATTTATTTTTAGTTTTTTATTGAATCAAAAGACATCTTAAAGTTTTTTAACAATTAGATTATTTTAAAAATTTTCAAGTGAAAATTTTGAGAAAATTTATTTTACAAAAATTAATTTTTTATACAAATTTTAAAAAATTGTCAAAAGTCTCTTAAATTTTGTTTATTTTATTATTACTGTTAAAATAAAAATAAACTAGCTTGGAGCGCTAAAAATTTTCATACAAAATAAACTTGAACTATAAAGAAACAAAAATTTTGCTGCATTAAATAATAACTTTTGTTAAATTCCACTGTATTTTCTTAACTATTATGACGTTTTCAAAGATATAAGCTCATCCCGATGTTACACTTATCAAGAGCTTTTATTTGAATACCCACATGCATTTTGATATATTTTTCATATATACATATATATAATATATATAAATATATGAAAAAATGATGTGGGTACTTAAATGAAAGGTTTTGATGAGTGTAACATCGGGGTGAACTTATATCATTAAAAATGTCAATAGTTCACGAGATACAAGGTAATTTCTTAATTATGTATCTAGAGATAGAGTATTTTCGAATGCAGCGTTAATACTTATCATCATAAATTGCCTATTGGTAAGAATGATATGAAACCACAAAAAGGCACAACTCCAGGTCAAGATTTTTTCAACGATATCAATTTTAACTATGAAACCCATTTTATCATATAAATACATTGGCCACAAAATTTTGCTTATTCTCTGAATAATATTAATTACTTAACTATTTAAAAAATACATTAATTAAATTTAGTAATGACTCAAGGTTAAAAAGAAAAAAAAATTTTTTTTTAAATATCTATATAATAGACAAACAAAGTACAAAGGCATTCACCCGTTACTATTTCATGTAAGTAAGAGTGTATAAGTGTATGTAAATCCTATTGGATATAAAGCCTTGTTGTTTCCGGTCAGGTGACGTATAATTGCTCACTTCGGCCCCTCCCAAGTTCTTTAGTTACACACATATATATATATCCTTACATTTGAAAAGTAACATACAGCACATTCGACTTTTTTCTTCATTTCTTTTTTTACATTTTTTTTCAGATAAAAGTAACAATACTTAAATGCAGCAAATAATTTTTATAAAAATGAAAGAAGAAATGATAATAAAATAATATTTAATAAGCAAGACTCATTAGGTAACTAAGCAACTTGTTAAATACAATGAGATGATTTAATTTGTTACCTGATGAATGCACCACTGAGTTTCATAATTTTTCCGTGTAACAGGCATGCAAGTGCACAATAATAGTGGACCGAGTTTACGCGGCTTTTTATTGAACTTAGTAACCTGATAAGGGGGATAGAGAAAAGATGGAGAAGAAGAAATAGAAAAGGGACGAGGAGGAGGCCCTTGTGATAGCGAGAGACTCGGTCCATCATCTCCTAGCGCGCACCACACCATCCACGGTTGATTCAGTCTTTTTTTTTATCTAATAATTATTTTATTTTTATGACCTAAATTTCAATTAAAATTGACTCCTTTATCAAAATAATTAATTAGATATATTTGATTATAGTTTATAATTAATAATGTAAATGTATGAACAATTAAACGTATTAGTAATATACAGTTGAATAATTCGACGTTTCAAAATCATTAAATTGAGTGTTAATGATTGAATTAATGTTAATTTAATATGATTGACAATGACTTACTGACTTACTTATTTTTTTATTAATGAAGATATTTATAAATATATCTATTACATATAAAATATTATTATTTTTATATAGTAAAATTATAAGACCAAATTTATTGCTGCTGGATTTTTTTTATTATTGAAAAAAAAATTTGTTTTTTTAGTATTTTATACCACAGTCACTTGACTTTAAATTAAAGAAGCTAACTTAAGGTGAAATTAATTTATTTTTGACTTATTGAAATAATAAAAATAATATATATCACTTAAAATAAATAAATTTGTTAGTGATAGTTGAAAAATATTCAATGAAATGTTTGATCTTTTAAATTAATCAATTGAGAAAATATAGAAGCATAATAATAACAAATAAAAGTGATTGATTGAGTTAAACATATTGTCAAGGCTTGAGCTAGGTAACATCTATCGATTCTTATATGCCCTTGAAAAATTATTATAAAAATTTTCTAATTTTATTTAGATTTAAATTATTATTATAATTATAATAATTTAAATCTAAATAATAAAAAATAGGTTTAGAATGTGACTGGACACGTGTAGTGTAGTAAATGTATAAACATATATGTACTCATTTCACTTACGTAAATAAACAAAGTTAAAATATTAAAAAATTTTCTACGCTAATGTCATACTTAAAATATTAATTAATATAATGATAATATTAAAATTAATATATTTTTTAGATTTCTATAATAATTAAATTATAAAAAAATTCCACAAATAGAAATTTTAAAAAAATTATAAGTGCGAATTTAAAAAAAATTTTTTTTTTTTTAATTTTCAATTGACATTTCAAGTATTTTTATATATAATTTTTATTACATATTTTTCAATGTAACACTAAATTTTTCAAATTGTTTAAGTACATATATATTACCTATTACTTTTCATTTATAACAATTCTTATTAAATACAAATATCAAACATTTTCTCCAAGCAAATATAATTACCTCATACGTAAAACTGGAAAAAAATAAAAAGAAAAAAAAAACTAGGTAAATTGAATGTTTAATTACAAAAAAAAATGACTCACGGATTACGACACTGTTTTTATTCAATGTAAAATCAATTCACACGTCAAAGTCATTTCATTTAATTTTTTTATTATCAAACAGATTGTACTGATATGTATAATAATAATAATAAGTATTTAAAGTATTATTGGGTTTTTAAACTTTAAATTTTAATTATAATCTTTTATAAAAAATAAATTAAAATCAATAGTCCCCTGACACTAGTGACACAAAAATATTTTTTTTTTTAAATAATTACTTATAGAAATAAATAAATAAATGAAAATTTGTAAATAATAAATATGTAATGTGTATTTAATGTAATATAAATAATTTACCTTTTTAAAGTAAAATTTTGAAGATCTAATATTCATAAAATAACTGTATTTTACGTGATGAATAATAACAATAATAATATAAAGAGTGTTACGTTTAATTGTTTATACATTTATCTATATTTGATTAAACGCGAAACGGAAAATGGGAAAAAATATGTAGAGCCTTGAGGACTCTATAAACTTTATAAACGACTCTACTACTTATGCTGTGGACGACTGTAGAAGTGTAAACTGAGTTTTATTATTGGACTTGGTTTAACTTGACTGCAGCATGAGAGCATGAGGCATGAGTAACATGCGTACATAGGTATTATTTAATGTACATGTGTTGTAGGTAGGCACGAGAGGACTCTACAGTGTGTATGAGTATTAATATAAGCATAATTAAGCAAAAGCAGTCTAGACTTTAGACCCTACTACTTTCTTTATATTACTCGCTATTTAATTTATATTATTAGTCCTTACTCATAATATATATCTATTCTATCTGTTTATTTTATTTTATACAAATTAAATTATTATTTTAATGTTTTTTAACCATTTAGAAAAAATGAAAAATTATTGATTTTTCTCTCTTACTTTTTTGGTTCAATTTTTTTTTTTGTTATTTGAGTTCAGTACATTTAAAATTTTTAAGTATAGATATTTTACAATGTTAATAGTATCTTGCTTAATTCAATTTTCTCACATTTATTTATTTATAATCATCATAAATTTGTGTGTGAGTATGTACAGTACAGTAAAATTATTATGTGTTTGTAAATTATCATATATTGTTTCATTCCATTCACCGAACGTGAGAATTTTATAATTATACTATTTATAACAGTATACCTGTAGAAAATTAAAAGTGTACAAGAAGACAAATTTTTTCTTTTCTATTTTATTTAATTTTATAAAATTTACTCTCTATGAAGTATTAAAATAATAATTTACTTTATTTATTTATTATTTTTTTTAATTAATTAAATTTCTTTAGTATAAGGATAAAAAATATAAAAATTGAAAAAGTAAGTAATTTTATAGTGGGTAAAATATTTAACAAGAAACTAATATAAAAACTAGGTCGTGTTCTAGAATGCACCATAAACTTTCTCATGCAAATAATTAATTTTATACAACTAAATAAATAAAAAACCAATCGATCACATTTGTAAAATAATTTTGAATTAGTTGTAATTTAATTTTATAAAAAATCAATAATTTTATTTTTTATTAATGTACAAAAAAATATTTTTCGAGCACTCCAAGAAAAAAAAAATTATTACTTAAAATTATAATAATAATAGAATTAAAAATTGATAACTTACCAAAGAATCGTCTCCATTTTCAGTGGTCATAGCCCGTAATCACAATAAATTCGTACTTCATCATCCTTCTTCTTAATGAATAATAACACTTGAGTAATTCTTGACCATTTCTCATCAGCTGATGATCACTAACAAATTATTGATAAAAATATTATTAATTATTAATTTAAAATTTTCCACAATTTAAATAAAAATATTTAATGCCTATATAATTAAAAAAAAAAAAAAATAATAAATTAATGAATCTTATCCAATTAAAAAAAATTCACAGCCTGGCTTGATGTGCTCAACGAGACACCTGTCATCCAATCTGACATTTACATGTTTACATTGCACCATAATAAAAATAAAATTTTAACAAACAAATTTGTTAAAAAAAATCTTAAAATATCTGCTGAATTAATTTTTATAAAAAAAAAAATGAAAAAAATACAAAATCACAAATTGTAACACATAAAAAAAGTAATAAAATCTAACGGTATCCATTCAAGCACACAATTATTATATTTTATATATAATAATTATATTATTTAAAATTAAGATCCAAAACTAGCATTAAGAAGCATCAGTACAGTATGTACAAACAAAAATTTGACAATTCACTTATAAACAGATTCACAGATATTTACAGGAATCCATACGGGGCCCGACGCCATTCTCAACCATTCTCTGATTCTCTCTCGAAACTACAAACCACTATAGACCCTCAATCTCAACTCTAGGCTCTTTATTACACTTTATTGCCACTCTCTACTAACTTTTTAATTAAATCCTTTTTTTCCTCTTCTTTCCTTTACTTTTATTAATTATAACACTCCAAGTATGGTGTGCTGATGGAATTAATAATTCTCTCACAACTTTGTAAACTACATAATAATAACAATAACAATAATATTATTATTATTATTATTATATTATAAATATGTGTACACTGTATATAGTTAAATTGTTGATGTTATTGTTATTACCAAGCCATTTTTAATCCGTACAATATTGTGTTCACTAAACGATCGGGGTATATGTATAGAGTAACAATCAATATACGCTGATCCTTGAAATTTATTATTATTTGTTTTCTCTTTTCTCTTTCTCTTTTTTTATTTCTTCTCAATAAACGTTTAAAAATTTATCAACATTTAATTTTAATAATAAATTATTACCGGAACTTTGCAACATACACAGCTAGACATAGACATTTCTATGATTTTTTTTTATTATTTATTTGTATTTATTTTTTTATTTTTAGTTTTATTACCTGACTATTGGTTTAAACAATCTAGGTCATATAAAATATATGAAGTGTATTTGTGTTCTGAAATACACTTATGACATTTTAAATTATTTTATAAATTTATAACAATAAAATTATTAATAAAAAATTCCACATGTGAAAATTAATAGTAGAAACTTTTTAATTTCTTTTTATTGTAATTGATTTGTTATAAAAATTGAAAAAATTGACAGTTGTCAGCTAACTTCACTATCATAATTCACTTACACTTACTTATTTATTATAAGCAGCTGTAGCAACGCAAATTAATGTAAACTTGTATTTCAGCGCCTCTGACGACTAAAAAGGGTTAATAATAATAAAAAGAAATTTTAAATAATAATTTGGTGGGAAAAATAAAAATAGATTTCAACGCCTCTGGCGGCGAAATTTTTATTTTTGGCGCCAATTTTTAAATCATCATAATTTAAACAATATAAAATACATTATTATTATTTAATTAAATATAAAAAATAGTAATTATATTTTTAAATATAATAATCATAATATTAAAAAGGTCAAATATTTTTTATTTAGATAAAATCAATTAGGCAAAAGTGCGCATGCGGGTATTATCGATTAGTAACTCAAGAAAATAATAATTATTTAATTTTCTTTTAGTATGTAGTTTATTCATTAAAATTATAAACATAATTTTTATTTACTATTTATTATTTATTTTTTTTAACGAATGTAGTCAATTTTTTTAATTATTTTCTGTGTATGATTTTACAATTATTAACAAATATTTTGCTGTTCAGTTAATCATCAAGGTAGCTTGGTGTATGTACACATAATTAGGCTATATAAAAAATTACTTTAAATAATAAGTATTTATTGAATGACACTTTTTACTCAATAATTCATTTAAAATAAAAAAAAAAAATACTTATACAAATCTATAGTAAATTTTTTTTCTTAATAAAACTAGTTAAAAAATTAATATAATATTTATGATAAAAAATTATCAATAATAATTTGAAAAAATTTATAAAACAAAGTTAATTATCCTTAAAATAATATAATAAAAATATCTATATACAATAAAATTAATATATATAACAACCAAACTACCTTATGATATAATTTTCATTTAAGTAACAAAAACTTAAATTAATACAATGATTAATGATTAATTAATCAACATAATTATTTCAATAATAAATAATTAAAATTAAAAACTATACCTATCATTAACTTTGTAAAGATTGTCAATACAAGTTCAAAAAGTAAAAAGATTATTAATTATTTATCTTCACATTTACACCTTTAGCCATTTAAAAAATTTTTTTTTATTTAATTCTATTTTTTTTTTTTAATCACTTATTTATAAAATTTAAAAATTCGGCACTTTTAAGCAGACACTGTCTCAACGATTGATTTTTTAATAATTTCTCCAAAATTTTCTTCATTATTATCAGTTGTTTTTTCTTCAGAATTTTTATTAATTTCATTATTATCACTATTAATCCCATTATTACCATAGTCATTATTATCATTACAATTGTCAATATTTTTTTCTTTATCATTGTCATGATTACCGTCATTGTTTTTATGTTGGTGATAATGATGATGATGATGATGATGGTGATGATGGTGATGATTGCTACCATCCTTAACAGAATTAACCAGCTGATAATTACTCAAAGAATGAGATTCAGCTTGCTCGTAATAAGAGTACCGCCCGGCTAGCAAATCTGAAAAGGGTTCAAGTTTTCCCATGTGTTGAGCAGCACTCGTTGATTGTCTTACTGAATTTAAATTAGTGTACTGCAAAGGAGGATTATCTTCTGTCGGAGATTGCTGATAAATTTTAGACTGATCGTGGGTGTTTTTTTGAATTGCCTCACAAGAAATTGACGGTCCAGCAGCAACATCACCAGAAGCCAATGCTGCTGTTGAAGAATCTTGGTAATTATTATAATGAGTAAACGCTTGTTGGAATTGCTGGATAAATTGTGGTTTTTGTTGCTGCTGTTTTAATTTATTTTGATGATTTAGCAGCTGATGTTCTTGTTGCTGATGCTGATGCTGATGCTGATGTTGATGTTGATAATAATGGTAATTATTTTGATGATGCCGTGATGTTGATGGTCCTAATTCATAACTTGAATAATTTTCATAGTTAGATTGAAAAGTTGGTCCAGTAAAACCCTGAAAAACTTGATTAAATTCTTGTGGAATTTTATTAGCAATATCTTCATTTGAATAGCAACTATCTCGCACGCCATACAAATCAAGATTATTTTCACGTGTTGACTGTAATGGCAAGATTGAAGATGATGGCAGTGGAGGTGTTGTTGGTTTTTTTATTTTTGTTGAATCTAATGTATCAGCATTGTTGTAATGAAGAGTTGTTAAGCCAGTAGAAATGCCAATAGAAGCATCTGTTGATGATGATTCTGATAGATGATTATGATTAGATTGTTCTAAATCATTTATTTTTTGATCAAATACGGTTGGCAGGGATAAAACTGCTGCTGGTGTTATTGTTGTGGATTTAGAAGCTTCTGTTGTTGTTGTAATTATTGTTGGTGTTCCTGTCGTTGGTGCTGTTGTTGCTGCTGCAGTTACTGTTGATGTTGTGATTTCTTCTTCACGCTGTTTTTTCTCAAGCTCTAGTCGCATTAATGTGTGGATAAAATGCGTTCGTACACGGATTGGATTAAATTCTATACGACCTGAACTATTAGCACAACCGTCACGTGAACAACCACATGGAAAACCAGCACGATCAACCTATTAAATAATAAAAAGCAATATTATAAGCAATATAAAAATTGATATATTAATGGCATTAAAGTTAGCAGTCACTTGACCATTTTTTAATTTTTTTTAACAAGTAAATTTGTTCAAAAAAATTATTTTTAAAAAATTGCATTTTTAATTTTTTAAAATTTCTACATGTCAATTTTTTTTCATAATTTTTTTTGCTATAATTTGTTTATTAAAAAAATTCTTAAAATTATCAAATATCTGCTGAATTAATTTTCATACTTTTTAATGGAAATTAAATCAGCCGACATTGAAAAATTCTTATAATTTTTTTGTTGAAAAAAATTAAAAGAAAAAATCTGACATGTAGAACATTTGATAAATATCAAGTGCAATTTTTAAAAAATATTTTTTTACTTATAATTTTTATTGAATCAAAAAAAAATAAAAAATTTATCAATTTATTTTTGCTACAATTTTTTTGTTACAAAAATTATTAAATACCTGCTAAATTAATTTTCATACTTTTTAATAAAAATTAAATCAGCCGACATTGGAAAATTTTTATAATTTTTTTATTAAAAAAAATTAGAAGAAAAAGTTTGACATGTAGAAAATTTGATAAATTTTAAATGCAATTTTAAAAAAATATTTTTTTACTTATAATTGTTATTGATTCAAAATAAATAAAAAATTTTTTCTGAAAAATTTGTCAATTTTTTGTACGATAATTTATTTTTTAAAAAAATAATTAAAATTATTAAATATCTGCTAAATTAATTTTCATATGTATTAATGATGATTAATTTGATTAAAAAAAAATACCTGGCATTTAACATTGGCTCGTGAACAAGGACAGCTTTCAGGATCGCAATATCCTTTACAGCCACAGCCGCAATGTTCTCTACTTGCACGAATATCGCGACAATCGTCTTTTTCAACACCGTCTATTCTGCGTACACCAGCAGCACGTAACAAAGCTCGTCTTTGCCAGGTTGGTACCGGTTGAAGAAAATAATAACTATCAATATCAAGATCCTCGGTGTCACTGGGCTCTTCGTCGGTATCATCACTTGGGTCCTCCGAACTTGATGCAGCCTCGGCGATACAAGTAGCCGCTCTTTCAGATCTCAATTGGGCTAATCGCGCTCGATGAAGTCTTCTCTGTTCGGCAGCATGTTCTGTTAGTGAAAATCTCTCAGCATGTGTGTGAATTGCACTCATACCCAGTGTGCTACCACCCTGTTGATATTGATATTTATGTTGTCATTATTAAATTACATTAAATATAAAGTAAAAGACCCAGTTACAAAAATTAAATGTTCTCAAAAAACGAATTATCTAAAAACTTATAATTTATAAATTATATTTACTAGCAACCTTGCAGTCACTATGTGACTGCTGTGACTTGTGAACTAGAAATAAATAAAATTTTGCTTTATTAAATAATGACTTTTGTTAAATTGCACTGTATTTTTTTAACTATTGACGTTTTTAAAGATATAAGCTCATCCCGATATTACACTCATCAAGAGCTTTCATTAGAGTACCCACAAGCATTTTGATATATTTTTCATATATACATATATATATAATATATATAAATATATGAAAAATTGATGTGGGTACTCAAATGAAAGGTCTCGATGAGTGTAATGTCGGGATGAGCTTATACCTTTAAAAATGTCAATAGTTCACAAGATACAAGGTCATTTCTTAATTATGTATCTAGAGATAGAGCATTTTTGAATGCAGCCTAAATACCTATCATAATAAATTGAATATCGTTGAGAATGATATGAAACCTTGAAAAAGCACAAATTCAAATCAAGACCTTTACAATGACACTAAATTTCACTAAAAAAAACCGATTTTATCATATGACTATCCTGGACACAAAATTTTTCTTATTCTCTTAATAGTATAGATTAATTTATTGGAGTTTTTTTTTTTAAATTAAAATAAAATTGCAAGTGTCAATAACTGAGTCTTTTACCTTAAATTAAAAAAAAAAATATGTATATAAATAATACCTGAGATGGAACACAAGTAAAACCTTGAGCTCGTGGAAAATAATAAACTGTAACAGCATCAAAATGTATGTTGCGTTTTTTTGCTATAATCGGTTGTTTTTCATCTTGCTGTTCTTGATCCTCTTGTTGTGGTTGTTGTTGCTGCTGCTGCTGCTGCTGCTGCTGCTGCTGTTGTTGATGATGATCATCTTTATCTTTAATGTTATTACTTCTCTTAGCGGATGGTTGTTCACCTTTCGCATAATCAGTCATTCGTCGTTTTAAATTGCTTTTTTGTGGGGTTCCAATAGTTGGCAACGGTAGTAGTGTCAATGAAGCCTCGTTATTTCATCTACTGATATCGAATTTTAAGTGGATTTATTACTGAAATTTTACCTTAAATTAAAAAAAAAAATATAGTATATAAATAATACCTGAGATGGAACACAAGTAAAACCTTGAGCTCGTGGAAAATAATAAACTGTAACAGCATCAAAATGTATGTTGCGTTTTTTTGCTATAATCGGTTGTTTTTCATCTTGCTGTTCTTGATCCTCTTGTTGTGGTTGTTGTTGCTGCTGCTGCTGCTGCTGCTGCTGCTGCTGTTGTTGATGATGATCATCTTTATCTTTAATGTTATTACTTCTCTTAGCGGATGGTTGTTCACCTTTCGCATAATCAGTCATTCGTCGTTTTAAATTGCTTTTTTGTGGGGTTCCAATAGTTGGCAACGGTAGTAGTGTCAATGAAGCCTCGTTATTTTCATCTACTGATATCGAATTTTTAAGTGGATTTATTACTGAAATAAAAATCATGGTAATTAAAATTCTATTATAATTAAAATTTTAAAAAATTAGAAAAACGGTTCACCCTAAAGGCCATCCCTGCAACTTCCCGCTCATTTTGTACTTAATCGCTTCAAACTACACATTACGTTTTTGAGCTCTTCGAGCTCAAAAATATTATTTTTGTGTCAATTTGAGCTCTTCACTGATAGAAGGATTTCTTAGTATTTAAGAAATCATTTCTTAAACATCATTTCTTAGCATTTAAAAAATATTTCTTTGTATTTAAGAAATATTTCTGAAATACAAAATACAAAGAAATCTTCTTAAATGTTAAGAAATCCTTCTATCAGTGTTCGAGCTCAAAACTCTAATAGCAGTTTAAAAACACAATTTTTTTAATTTTCAAACGGCAATAACTTTTGAATGAATGAATCGATTTTCACGCGGTTGGCGGCAATCGACGCAGTTTTTGAAGCTCCATGAAAAATTTTCAAGTTTAAATCGATCGAGCCATGAATTTCGAAGTTATCACAAAAAAACACTTTTTTCGATTTTTTTCGACAACGATATCTCACGAACGCATCAACCGATTCTAACGTTTTTGGTGGCGATCGATGGGGGTTTTCAAGGTTAAGAGCTGATTAGTTTTTGAGACCGATCGGTTCAGCCAATTCGGAGGTATTTAAAAAAAATAAAAAAAAAAAAAACTTTTTTTTCACCTTTTTTTCACTTTTTTTGCATTTTCTCGAAATCTACCGGTCCAAATCAGTTCAAATTTTCAGGAAGTCTAAGTTTAGTGAAGCCCTTTCGAATGACACCAACCGCGATGAAATCGGTCAAGTCATTCAAAAGCTACAAGAGGTTTACACACACACACACACATACAGACACCACCGCGGGGTTAGTCAGGGAAGCTTCCTGTGACCTTAAAACGTCGAGATCTGATGAAAACTCGATTTTTGTAAAACGGGGTGAAAACAATAACTTCCCGATTTTTGAAAATCTGAGATTTTTAGCGGGAAGTTAAAAATTAAATTCAACTATAAATGAATAGAAGAAAAGTTAAAATAATTTTATTTAGTAAATATACCTTTTTCTTTATCTCCAAGAATATCTTCTGGAATTCTATCAAGAAAAGACGTCTCCGAGTCACTTTCAGGTGCTGGTTGGATCCCAGGATCGCCAGGAATTTCACTTCCTAATCCTGAATCACTTCCATCTGATCTAACTTCGTCCCCAGCAGCTCCGGTGTTGAGTGCCAAGCTTTCCGCAGAATCTTCCTCGGGTTCTTGGATGATCGACGTAAGCCTGGTCAACGAAGAAGGTTCATCGCAGGTCAGTCCATCAACATCAACATCAGCATCAAGATTATCATCAACATCAATTTGAATACTATTGAATTGAGTTTCATCTTTTGATTCTTGTTTAGGCTCTAATTCATCAACACCCGATTCAGTTGCCGAATTCTGAATAGTATCCGTTGTCACCATAGAAATTAATTCTAAATCAACTGAATCGATTCTTTCTTTTCCAATAATTTTTGACTCAGTAATTACTTCCGACACTGGGGTTTCTTTTTGCTCCAGTTGATCAAATTCGTCTTCAAGCAGTTTATTTATTTTCAAACCATCGTTTTTTGAATACTCTGATGACATATCAAACGAATTACCTAACTCATTGTCACTATTATTATTATTATTATTATTATTATTACTAACACTAGTTGAATTATTTTTAACAATCATTTGAGATTTAATTATTTCACCACATTCATCTTTTATTTTAAACTCATTATTTTCGTCAACACGTGACAATACAACCATTAATTCTTTTTGATTGATTGTTTCTTCTAATGATAATTTACAATTATCAGTCAGTAAACAATTGCCTATTGATTCTTCAAAATTAATTATATCTTCTAATTGTTGATTACTATTACAACTACTATTATTAATTTTATCAAGATTGCTATTATTATTTTGACTAATATTACGATCTAACAATTGTTTATTACTATTATTATTATCTGGTGTCAATGATATTTCACCAAGAGTACGTTCACGAAGACTCACAAGCACTGGAGATAGTCTACGTACATCATGCTTCAATTGTTTGGCTTCCTCATCTGATATCTCAAGACCGACTACTGTCTTATCAATATTATTAATAGGCACGAATTCATCTGTTGAATCAACACTATTTAATTCTTTAAAATCTAAAATTTTTATATCTTCTTTTTTATCTTCACTTGTTATTACTTCGTTAACTTGATCAATTGATGTTAATGGCTGTGTACTTTTATTCATTAATAAATTATTATTATCTATTGATATATTTTTACTATCATTACTAGATAATTGTAATTGGTTAAACGGAGCTGCGGTGTTTGTAGCAGTGTCCAATGAGTTAGCTTCCTCTTGGGCTTCATTTTTCATATTTGTTTCAATTATCGCCGGTGTTTTCATTCTCGTTTATTTTTTTCTTCTGAAAAATAAAAATAATTTTTTTTTAATTATTATTTTACTTAATAATGAGAGCTCAAAGAGATCAATAAGTAGCGCGCTTACTGATACCAATGCGCATACAAAAAAAAAAAAACAATAATTACAAATAATAAAAAAATGATAATAATAATTTTTAAAAAAATTTGAATAATACTAGACTTTAAAATTTTTTATTTAAACAAAAACCTATCCACACACATATGTTTATTTATTTCTTCTTCTTAATAATTATAAAAAATAAATAAAATTATTAATAATTGTAATATTAATTAAAGATTAATTTTTATAATATCAAGTGTAAATTTATTAATAAATGTTTATAAAATAAATAATATGTAAAATAATATAATGTAAACTGATATAAAATAGATTTATGATTTAATAACTAAAAAATAAAGACTTGCTTCTGTTTATTGGAGCCGTTACCCGATTCGTAGTTGACGTTAAAGTGAACGGAGTGAGCTGAAGTTGTTGTAAAAGCTGGAGTGAGAATTATATGTATATAAATATATAATAGATATATGCAGTATTTTCATATACTCCTACTTTTGTAGTAAAGTGTACTAGTGTAGGTTTTGCGCGCACGCGCGTTTGTTAAATTAACTTGTTTATAAAAAAAAGTAGAATTTGTTTATAAGGTAGATAGACAGCAAGTTGATTTAGAATTTACTTTTGCACTGATTTAAGTATTTTAGATATTTTGCGGGGTTTAATTATATTAAAAAAATTTTTTTTAATAATTTTATATCATTTTTAAAACAATTTTAGAACAAAAAGCTGGAAAATTTTAGTTCTGATACAAATTTTACTCCAAATTTTACTAATATTACAGATGATGTGAGTTTGTGAGTCAAAAAGCTCAGGAAAATGGGAGAATCGGAGAATCGATCCTTACCCTTACTCTATAGTAGTACTGCAGTAATGTAGAAGCGTTATCGAACAGTAAATTTATACCGTAAACTATTATATTTTTCTTCTTTAATTTATTATAAAAAGTTTTAATTAGTTTTATTATTTAAATTTTTAATTAGTTGACTGCAGGAAAGATCTATCAATAAATAAATAAATAAATAAATAAAATTTATTGGTCGTTTGAAGCTTTAATCCATAAATTATATAAAAATTAATGCAATCTTTCTATTCATCAATTTTTTTTAAGTTATAAAATCAAAACCATGAGAGAAAATAAGGTAAAAAAGAAAGTAAAAATTGAATGGAAATAATTGTAGAAGAGAATGTAAAAAAAAAAAAAGAGGTAAAAGCTCTGATACAAGAGGGAAAGGAATCAATGACGGTCGTCGTGGCAACTGATGCTTGCTTGATCTTAAATCATTGAAAATACTATGAACTATTTTCTACCTTTTTTTTTTTTATTTATTCACGCTTTTTTGTTGAAAATTTTAATTTTAATTAAATTTGATATTACTTTATTGAAATAAAAATTTAGTTTTTGAATATCAACGCATCGATAAGAACAAGGTCTGTTTTATAACCAATAAAATAAATTTATTAGCACACCCTTGACGATAGCAATTAATAGTTAATTATCTTTAATTTTTAATCATTTAATCAATTATTTGAAATTAAAAAAAAAAATTATCATTCTAATTTTTTAACAATTGGAAATTTAATTTACCTTTTTTAATTAAATACTTTATTTCATATTACACAATATATATACTAGTAAATTTGATATATTATTTTAATTTTTTTCCTAAAATATTACTTTACTTCCCTGAAATAAATATTTTCATTTTTATATGTGTAAGTATATACATGTACTATCATTTTACAATTACCGTTATTCATAGTTATATATTGTCATAAATATTTTTATTTATTTTGTACATATTATGTATTTGTTTTAATTTTTTTTTTTCTTAGAAAACTAATTATTTAAATTTCATCTTAAATTTGATTGAAACTAGCAAAAAAATTTTAAATTCTTCACAGTACATGCGACGTGTCAGATTAATTGAAAATAATAAACAAATTAAATAAGAATAAAGTCAAAAATACCGGTTACTCACCTTTTAAGTAAAAATTATTCTCCTTCCATATTAATATTTTTCATAGTTAAAATCACTGTATTAAAACATCACGTCAGAGTTTTTTACTCATCAAATAATTATATAAACAACGTGATGAAATAAAAATAAATCAACTTTATTAATAAAATTTTGATTATATTAATAACTAAAATGTAAAAAAAAATATTAATTGCAAGTGTTTATCGCAGAGTATGTATTGCTAAGTTGAGTGTTACCAAGCCATCTTGACGATACTCCAGTATTTTTTCTTTTCTCTTTCTTTGTATATATGTATACATATATATATGTTTTTTTTTATACTTATTGTTGTGTATCAGTACGAATGCAGATCAATTGTAAATAATTATGGAGCGTCACAACACAGGTAGCACAATGAAGATTTAATGTACTAAAAATACTAATAAAGTATATTAAAATATAAGGTTAAAATTGTAAATTGTACTATATAGCAAGTATGCAAGGTAAAGACAGCAGTCACGACTTATGTAGTGTATCTACGATGGTCACGACGCATCAACCAACAACTATATAAACACCTATAGCTATAGCTATGTAGCGTGCTGATGCTGCCGCCTGCCACTGTACAATATTCGATGATGCATTATTTTCTTTATCTGTTTATTATTTTTCACTGTGGATTATCGGATGCACTAATGGGTACAAAGTGTATAAATGTACTTGTAAATATTATTCCATGTTTAATTTTTTTAATTAATATTTTATTAATTTTTTAATTTTTATTATTATTATTCGGCTATACTGTTGTAAATTCCTTTGACTGCTTTCACTTTTTTATACAGTACATTATCATTCACAATTTTTTTTAACACTTTTTAATCTATTTATGCACAAATAATCTCATACTTTTTAATTATTATAAATAATGACATTTAAAAAAAATCTTTGCAATTAAAAAACAAATTGGTCCACACCATAATAGATGATTTTTGAATTTCTCATCTGCGGTGGCGCTACTGTCGTTTTCTCAGTAGCTGTCATGGAAGCTTTCTTATTACAGCGCTATAAATTTTTTTTTATGGAAGTATAAAATGAAAATTAAGTTAGTCGACATGTGAAAATATGTTTAGAAGTTTTTTTTATTGAAGAAATAATTACAAAAAAATAAAATAAAAATTTTATGACATCCAAGTTAGCGGTCACTTAAAAATTTTTTAATAAATAAATTTAATGAAAATTAAATTAGTCGCGTCATTCAAAAATTAAAAATTTTTTTTTTATTGAAAAAATTATTACAAAAAAAATTTTAAAAAAATTTCATTTGTAAAAAACTTTAAAAACTGTAAGTGCTATTCTTTAAAAATATTTTAAACTTTTAATTTAATTAATAAAAAAAAAATCAAAAAATTAAAAACGTCGGCTAACTTAATTTTCATATAAATTTGCTCCGAAAAATTGTTTCTAAAAAATTGGATTTTTTATTTTTTTAATTTTCTAAATGTCAATTTTTTTTCTCATTTTCTTTGACATAATTTATTTGTTAAAAAAGTTATTAAAATTATAAAATGTCTGCTAAATTAATTTCCATTAAATTTTATTTGTGAAAAACTTTAAAAACTATAAGTGCAATTTTAAAAAAATGTTTTTTAGTTCTAATTTAATAAATTAAAAAAAAATTATAAGCCTCGGATAACTTTAGTATTATAAATATAAATACTATGTGCGCGAAAATTTATAAAATTTTATTAAAATAAAAAAATGTTAAACGTTATTAGGAATATTTTTTTTTCTAAAATTATAATTAAAAATAAACATATAATATTTCAGTACAATGTTATATTTTTTTAAAATTAAAAATATGACACTTAAGTCAGCAGTCACTTGACAACTTTATAATTTTATTTAATAAAATAAATTTTTTGTGAAAAATTATTTTAAAAAAAACTGCATTTTTAATTTTTTTGAATTTTTACATGTCAATTTTTTTGCCATAATCTATTTGTTAAAAAAATTCTTAAATATCTCTTAAATTAATTTTCATTAAAAATATATCTTGGATTAAAAAACAGTAATATTTTTTTAATATTGTATATTATGATTTATTTCTCTTTTTGATACTACAATTATTTTTAATCGATAATTATATTATTATTCTTAATAGTTAAAATAATAATAATTTCATTTTTTCTTTTTTAAGATATACATTAAAAATAATTCAGACTCTATTTGACAAGTTATTACATAAAAAAAATTTTTTTCTAGAATAATTGTCAATAATTATACAAATCTATTGTAAATAATCTCTTTAGTATAATTGTTATTAAATGCAATTTGATTAATATTTATTTATATTAAATATAATATAAATTAATAACTTAAATTAAATTCTGTAATTCTAACGTGTTTTTTCATTTATCAATGTAATCGATGACAATTTTCTTAATATTAATATTAATATATATCTTCACTATTACTCGTCATTTTTATTTAAATATTTTATAAATAACTACGTCAGTGAATTATGGAATTTTTAATTTATTAAGTGTAAAATAAATTAATCCATGCTCTTTGGCACTTGAAATATTATTATCTGAGCGATTTCATCCATTATTATTATTATAAATATAATCTATTAATTGTTATTATTATTATATATTAATATAGAGAATAATAAATATATTCATAAATAGATTTATATTTTACTTATATAAATTTAATAATTAATGCAATATTATTAATTATTATTGACGCATATGATTTTATTAAAATCTTATTAACACGTATCACATGCTATATTGACTATCGTTTCCTCGTTATTTATTTATTAACTGTCCTCTGTTCAAGATGAACAATTCTTCAGTTAATAATAAATATTTATTGCTTTATTAAAAATTATTTGTAAATATTATTGTATTTGAAAATCTTAGTGACTAGTACTTTCATTTACTTTCATTTAGTTCAAACTCTACTTATGATATATATAAAAAAAAAAATTTAAGTTGACTCTGATCCTGTAATACTTAAATCAGCAGTTGAGGGTGTTCTATCATTAGATGGACCACTTGAATTAATACCTGCTGTATTTAATGCATGAATACCTTGTAACTCTGGAACATCTTGGAAAAGTTTACCAGGAAATCCTTGGAGTAAATCATATGACACTGGTGTGGGTGGTAGTGCTGTTGTATGTGCATGCGGTGATTGAAGTACTGCTATTACTCTCCTCAATTCTTCCAGTGCATTGCCTGCATTTATCAATAAAAGCAATGTATTTAAAATTTTTAAAAAATGTGTGTGTTTTAAAAAATATTATTAAGTTACCTTGCATAAGAATGTAATTTTTAGCCAATAATAATGTTGCAATTTTAGATAATTTTCTTACTGAAGGACTGTGAGCGTAAGGAATAACTGAACGTAATTCATCAAGTGCATCATTTAAATCATGCATTCTTCGACGTTCACGTGCATTTATATTTAATCTTACACTTTTTCCTTGACGTGAACTTTTTGATTTTGGTGGACAGTTTAAACGTGATCCTGTAGGCCTAAAAATAATAATAATGACACGTTAGATCTTAAAATTATAATTATTATTATAATTACAATTAACTTAAATTTTTTGTATAATAATAATAATCTATACACTGAGAAAAAAAAAATACTTTTACTCAATTAACAATTTCTTGGTTCAAGAGACTCGCTGACGATCAAATATTCTATTATTATTAATTATTAATTTCTGAAGAGAAGAACATCAATATTTATCTTTGGATAATAGATAAACAAAAGAATAGCTTTATTTAAATTAAGTAAAAATTATTTCAATCAATTTAACAATTTCTTGAGCTAAGAATATATATTCTTGGAAATATTCAAGAACATAAATTCTTGTATCAAGAAAATTTTCTTAATAAACGTATTTTTTTTTCTCAGTGTATTATTGAGAATAAGAAAAATTTTGTATCCAATATAGTCATATAATAAAATCGGTTTTTTTTAGTGAAATTTAGTGTCATTGCAAAGATCTTGATTTGAATTCGTGCCTTTTCAAGATTTAATATCATTTTCACCGATAGTCAATTTATGATGATAAGTATTTAGGCTGATCTATCTCTAAATACATAATTAAGAAATGACCTTGTATCTTGTTAACTATTGACATTTTTAAAGATATAAGCTCACCCCGACATTACACTCATTGAAACCTTTTATTTGAGTACCCACATCAATTTTTCATATATTTATATATGTTATATATGAAAAATATATCAAAATGCATGTGGGTACTCAAATGAAAGCTCTTGATGAGTGTACCATCAGGATGAGCTTATATCTTTAAAAACTTTAATAGTTTAGAAAATACAGTGCAATTTAACAATAGTTATTAAGTAATAAAGCAAAATTTTATTTATTTATAGTTTACGTCACGGCAGTCACACAGTGACTGCAAGGTTGCTAGTTTTCATTATAATAATAATAGCACTTTAGATTTTTAAATTATTATTATTATTAATTTAAATTTTTTAAATAATAATAGTAAAAATTTTAAATGAACCTTTCTTGATCAGGACGATTTTCATCAGATGATAAAACACTAGAAGAGGTATGTGGTTGAGGTTGTTGTTGAAAATAAAATCCTCCAAGACCAACAGCACCCAATGGAGTTCGTCTTCCATGATTTTGCGAATGATCAGATCCGGGAGTATAACCTGTTGAAGATACTCCAAGACCTGGATGTGCTGGTGGTGGAGCTGAATACGCTGCTATTGACTCCAATGACGGATTTGATTGATTTTGTAACTGTTGCTTTTTATTTATTAATACAATTAATAATTTTAATTTCGTTAAAATAATTAATATTTATTAAAATACTCACACGGTGTTCCCATGCCCATGTAGGATGTGTTGAGCCACGCCATCCACCCTGATTTAAATGGTGGTTATCAGAAAGTATTTCACGCCGATCATCTTCATCACCTGAACTGCTTTCACCGTCGTAAGATCTCATTTTTTATTTTAATATATTTTTGTTATTATTTATTTTATTACTTTTATTAATTGTTGATTTTTTATTTTCTTCTTTGGGTGGTTAATTGCCTTTAAATTATATTTAATTTACTATGATCTTCACAACTAAATTTTAAATAATAAAATTACTTACAGAATTGTTATTAATAATATTTAGAATTGATTGCGGCCACACAGGACATGAGTAAAAATTTTTTTCGTTCCATAATCACCCTAGTATAACTGAAAAAAAAAAATAAATTGATTATTTTTTACGTCTAAACTTTAAAATAATTATTTGAAAAAAATATTTTAAAAATCAGAATTTATTTTAAAAATTATTAAAGAAGAAAATATATAAAGAAAGAAGAAAAAAAACAAGAAAATTTAATTAAATAGTACATACCTACTTATTGTCGAGTTTGTCCTGCGCCCTTGTGGACTTTTAATTCTTTCTAGCATCCCTTTTTTCAATTCCTTTTTTCATCTCTCCCACCACAAAACTTCTGGTCCTAGAGTCTCGAAATTCGAAACTCGAGATGTTAACTAAACTGAAGCTTTCAACATCCCCCAGAGTGATTTTAATTCACATTTAATCCAAAAGATAGCGCCATAACAACCATTAAAATCCAATATTTTGTATTTTTTTTTCAGCGAGAAGAAGAATCGATTTTTCGAAGATGATTTTTTTGTTTAGGATAAAATCTAAAGTACTATACGTATAAAAAGTCTACGCCTCAGTAATTAAGTCATAAGATAGAATTATGACATTCTTGAGAACTTCCTTTTCAAAAGCATAAAATTTTATATGGAATTAATTTACTTTAAAATCTTTGAGCATTTCTTTTTGTAAGCTAAGAAAATTCTTAGAATAAATTGAGAAAATTTTTTTTCTTGAGAAAGCTTTATTTACTCTTACTCCATTAAATTATATCTTAGATATTATTGATTATATTATTAATGATAAGTAGCTTTGAAAAGTAATTTAATAGTGTTTTATTATTTTTATTGTCTAGTCGCTAATTTTTATATTTTTTTTTAAATGATATTTATGATTATGATTATGTTCGTGAAAAGAAGAAATTGTAAAAAAAATATTTTTGGGCATACAGATCCTTTAGTTTAAATAACAGGAAAATTATATTTATAATAATAATAATAATAATAATAATAATAATAATTTCCCAAAAAATAGCAAAAAAATATTGTTTTTAAAAACAAAATAGCCATCAACATGAACGATTTTAATTATAATCGGAATTTATAATGTATATGTGTATTATATATAAAGTTACACTTGCATATTTTTAAATATACATGTAGATAAAGGGATGAGGTGTACACGAGTCGAGAACAGTTACCATGACAACATTCTGCGGCTTACTTTAGCTTCCTCTCATTTCAACTGGATCAATACAGCATCACCAGCTTCTAGCTCCCGGACCAAACACACCCCTATTACTTTCTCTCTTTCGCTCCTTCTCTCTCTCTCTCTCTCTCAGCTACTCCTACTACCCTGTACACACAAATCTAGAACTCACAACCCTATATATTCGTATATAGATATATCATGTATATATGTATATAACCCCGTTACTTTTCTGCCCCTTATATAATTCCCAATCTCTTGGATTTTCAACTATCCCTAAACTAACACCCTTCTTTACTATTCTTCTTTCATTTTCTCTTTCTCTCTCTCTCTATTGATTTATCCGTCCAAATATCTATCAATCTCAAATTTTTCTCTAAATTTTATTTTATATCTTGGCCTTATAATTCATTTTTAAGAAAAATTATTAAAAGCAAGAAAATCAGTTTGAAAAATTTTATTGTCTTTATTCGAGTAGGAAAAGTCTTGAATTGATAAATTTTCTTGGAAAAAACGGATAAAAAAATTTATTTGATTTTAGAGGAAAATTCTTGATCCAATAATTTCATTTTCATAATTTTAAATTGAGTGAAAAAATTTTTTATTTAAGAAATTTTTTTTTGTTCAATTTAATTTTATTTAAATTTAAAATTCTACAAAATGATATTTTTGCTCTTAAACCTAATTAATTTTTTTTATCAGAATGAATGTTAAATAAATCCCGACATTTTTATATATATTTAAAAAATGTTTTTATATGTTAGTTTTTAAAACATTTTTTACAGCAATGGGTGACATATTATTATTTTTATTATTATAATTTATTAATATAAAGCAGCACGACTATAATTTATTAACTTGTTCTTGACTCTCTTTCTCTTTCACTAATTTTTTTAAAAGTAATATTTAATATCTAAGAAATAATTTTTTTTTTAATTCAAGTAAAATAAATGGAGTGATTAATAAATATATTATTCTTATAATTATAAAAAATTATTTGGATTTAAAATTGACTTTTAATAAAATAAATTTTAATTTAATTGCTTGCTAATTTAATTTATAAAAAAAAATCTGAACATTTTTTTAAAAATTTTATTTTTAAGATTTCTCAAAATTTACCGGACCGATTTTTTAATTTTTGAAATTTTAATTTGGCAGAGTCTTCTGGAGTATCTTAGAGCGCGTTTCAATCGATCAAGCTATTGAAAAGTTACAAAAGGTTTTTTACACAGACCAGAAAATAATCATAAAAATATCTTTACTTCCTTAAAACCATTTACTTTTCCAGCGGGAAGTTAAAAACTAAATTTAAAAGTACCTCGAAATTATTTTCCATGCAAAGTTAATAAAATAGCGGAGAGATAAAGGCGCAGTAGATATATAAGGAAAAATAAACAAAGACAGTATACAAGTAGTATAAGAATAAGAATAAGAATAAAAAAAAAAAAGGGCTTGAATCAGGGGTTTAAATTAAATAAAATTTGATCCAACAGAGACCCTGAAGCGGCCTCAAATGGCCGGGATCTGTTGGCGGTCACCATGGTAACGCAGTATCCCGCCCCGTGACGTCACGGCTTCATCGATTTGCAAGCCCCTTATACTGTATCACGGACTCACCCCCAAACTATCCCTAACTCCCGTTAAAGCCACCCCATTTAGTCTCGGTTATCACGACTGCGAATGCTCTCTGTGCTGAAGCTGCGGGCCAACACCCCCGTAAAACTTATTCGCTTTCATTTTTTTACATTTTTTCTCTTTTCTCTTTCAATTTGTTATCATTATCATATATATATATATATATATATATGGTCAAACATATCCACACAATAACAAAACGCTTGGAGATGCACAGTGTCATTACACTCATCACACATAGAGAGATCAAGACTTGTACATCCTTGCTCTTGTTTTTGACAAGGTGTATGGTACTGGCGAGCCAAATAAGTTTATTCTTCTATTGATAGGAAAAAGGAACTCTCTCTATGGTGTATACACCATTATATGAAAAAAAATTACAAAATACAAGTAATAAAAGTGAGTAACCTTACCCAAGTAATAGACTTTTCTTTCTTCACCGATAGTAATGTTTTTTATTTAAATTCCCTAATTTTGCTTTTTCCAAATTTATAAAAACAAATTATATATATCTTATTATTATCTATATTATTGAGAGAATAAGATAAATATTGTGTCCAGGATAGTCATATGATAAAATCGGTTTTTTTTTTAGTGAAATTTAGTGTCATTACAAAGGTCTTGATTTGAATTAATGCCTTTTCAAAGTTTCATATCATTCTCACCAATAGTCAATTTATGATTATGAGTATTTAGACTGCATTCGAAAATGCTCTATCTCTAGATACATAATTAAGAAATGACCTTGTATCTTGTGAACTATTGACATTTTTAAAGATATAAGCTCATCCCGATGTTACACTCATCGAGACCTTTTATTTGAGTACCCACATCAATTTTTCATATATTTATATATATTATATATATGTATATATGAAAAATATATCAAAATGCTTGTGGGTACTCAAATGAAAGCTCTTGATGGGTGTAACATCGGGATGAGCTTATTTATTGAAAATATATGTTATATATATATATATATATTTATATGTGAAAAATATATCAAAATGCATGTGGGTACTCAAATGAAAGCTCTTCATGAGTGTAATATCGAGATGAGCTTATAACTTAAAAAATGTCAATAATTAAGAAAGTACAGTGCAATTTAACGAAATTCATTATTTAATAAAGAAAAATTTTATTTATTTATAGTTCACAAGTCACGGCAGTCACACATTATTATTTAAAAAATTTGATATTATTATTATATTTTATTTTTTGCAGTAAAAGATTTAATATAAAATAAAACTTTTTATTTACACAACAATAATTTAATTTGTTTTTAATTAAAATATTATTGCATAATACTATAAAACTTTATTTACATTAAATAAAAATTTTAAATAAAATTTTTATAATTAAAAAATAAAAAACATTTATGGAATGTTTACACGAGTTTGAAATATTTTTTTATTCCCATTAATCGTACATGCTCAAATGCTAGACAGCACGACGCCCGGTATTTCTCCAGCGTACAGAATAATAATAATAATAAGAATAATAATGATAAAGTTCTTTTAGTTTATCTCATCTCCTTCCTATTTCTACATCCCCTCAAACGTCAATCACGAATAATCAATTTTTGCTTAGGAAAAAAATACTCGAGTGATAGAAAACATTAAATAAAAATAGTAATTTATAATGTTTTTTTATACTAAAGATAAAATTTTTAATAAGATTGATATAATTTTTAAAGTTTGGAATATTATTTTAAAATTAATTAATTGTTAAAGTTTGAAATATTATTTTTTTTCAATATCCTGGTGTACGGTGTTTATGCGTAGAACTAAAATCGACAGTAGTTGGCTGGGCCGATACATTTGAAGGGGATGCATCTCGCTCTGGCAATTCTGCAGGCTTCCAGGCACGAAGCTGAGGGTTGCCTAGCGACCCAACTTGAGATAGAATGAGAAATATATATATATATATAAAATATATTGGCTGGCCTATACTACATTAAATCTACTCATTTTTGTACTTATCATTTCTTCAAGTAA